CTAGTTGAAGCTGTGCCTGCTCACTGCAGGGTGTTGGACTGGATGTCCTTATTCTATGATTCTGTGTGGCAGGGCTGCGTGTGACAATGGGGACATGAAGGTGGAAGAGTCATGCTCATGTCCCTGGAGCAGCACATAGCTTCTCTGGGCTTGTGCCTCTACTCCCAGACTTTCCTTAGCAGGACATGCCCTACCAGGAACAGAGGTGGTGGTGGTGGTAGTCCTTGTGTGTGTTCCCACTTGTCCATGTGCATCTGGGAAAGCATCCTGCCCCTGCACGAGCTGGGAGCTCTGCTTTCTGGTATCTGCACGCTCCGTTTTCGCGCCGTGCCCTTGCAGGCAGCCCTGAAGTGCCTGAGCTCTGCCTGCTCGTGTCTGCTGACCGATACATGCTGCAGACGGACGGCAGGCGCTGCCACCCCATACACCCTGGGACACTGGTTCCCGTTGTACATCGCTACAAGAGGGGCAGCTGCAATGTGCACTGGTACATCCTGCCCAGCGCCACTGAAGGGACAGTGACGCCTGCTCCTGACTCCTTTCATACCTCTTTCCTCTGCAGGTACTTCAGGTGGTGGTACAAGAAGACCCGCATAGAGAAGAAATCTGCCTTCATTGACCTCTTGTGTGCTGTTCCTCTGCAGCAGATCTACGGTCAGCCTCCAGTTTGGGCACTGGGGTGGTGCAATACCTTGTGTGCTGGCTGGGCAGGGATTCACGTGGGGCTCTCAAGGTGCTAGAGTGCAGGAGTGGGTCAAGGAGCTTCTGGGGTGCGGGCAGTGCTGTGGGGCCCTGGAGCTGCATGGTGGGGTCCTTGAGCTGGATCCTACTACGGGGAGGAATGGGGGTGCTAATTTCTGGTATCTTTGCCAGGGTGCCCGCTGGGCGGGATCGGGGGAGGCACCATCACCCGTGGCTGGCGGGGTGAGTTCTGCCGCTGGCAGCTGAACCCTGGCATTTATCACTACGAAACAGTCATCGCCAACCAGGTAGGTGCAGCAGGGCCTGCGAGGGGTACGAGCAGCACTGCAGCAGCCTGAGTGGTTGCAGTATCTGCTCTTGGGCTCATCTTGTGTCCTCTATGTGCTTCTCTTCTCCCCAGTTCACGGTGTGCCTGCGTTGCAAAGGGCAGACAGTTTACCAGCAGGTCTTGTCTGTGGAGACACCCAGCACGCTGCAAGGCTGGAACTGGGGCTACTGTGGCCACTACGCCTTCTACCATGCCCTGTACCCCCGTGCCTGGATGGTCTACGAGCTCCCGGGGCAAAACGTGGTGCTCACCTGCCGCCAGGTCTCTCCCGTCATCCCCCATGACTATAAGGTAAGGAGGTGATGGCTCCATGCTGGTGGCAGCCTGTCCTGTGGGAGCACTGGGCCACGCCGCGCTGCAGCAGCACGGCTCGTACGGAGCAGGTTGGCAGGGATGTGGCAGAGCTGCCTGCGTGGGAGGGGGAAAGGGTTGGCACAGCAAAGACAGGGCTGTACTGTGTGATGCTCAGTCTGTCCTGTTTTGCTAGGAGAGGCTTGGAGCTGGTGAGTTTTTGACCTCTAAGCATTGCCTGTGTGTCCAGCGATGCTGCAGTAGAGGAGTTCCTTGTCCCTCCTGCCCAGCTCGGCACTGCCTGAAGACAACCAGGCTTGTCGCCTTCTTAATGTTCTTTCCCAGCCTGGCCTGGTCTCTTCTGTCCTAAGACCCCAGTGCCAGCTGCCAGGTGTGTAGCAGCAGGACCCTGGAAGGCTTTGCCCCTCCTGGGGGCTGGAAGGTTCATCCTTTTTTTCCCCCCTGTACTTAGCTCTGGTAGCTGCTCCTCTCTCCTCTGACCTGTGCTTTGGCTCTTTGTACTGCTTGTTCCCTGCCTTTGGTTTTGTCCTGTGACCATCCCAGCTCCCGTCCACCCGGAATGGCAGGTCCAGAGCTGTGGCCTTACAGCCTGGAGGATCTGGTGGTAGCATTTTTGGGAAACTCTCAGCCTGTACTCATGGGTTGGTTTGTGAGCTGGGTGTTTTCTGAGAGTGTTTTAGCTGTCCATCCCCAGGGGAAGAGCTGCTTATTAGCTGGGCTTTCCCAGCCGGGCTTTCCCAACATTTCCCTGTGTCTCTGCTCAGCAATGCTCCCAGGCAGGAGGAACCCCCACAGCGATGCGGAAGCTCGGGATGGCAGCAAGGGATGCCTCGCCGCTCCGTTGCTCCTGCTCGCTCCCAGCCGCAGGCGAGGGCGGCAGGCTGTGCTGCCGACACACCTGACCTTCCTCTTACCCCAGCGAAGCACGTGAGCCTGTGTCAACTTGTTGAGCGTAGGGGTGGTGAGACACCTATCTGAGCCTTAATCGTTGCTTTCCATCTGTGTATTGCCCTGTGTGGGGTTTCCTAGCCCAGAGCTTGTGATCTGAGTTTTGTATTGCACACTTCCCAAATTCCTCTGCTCTCTCTGCTGCTCCCCAGCTTGGCAACGGACTCCGAGACTGAGTTGTTCCTGGTGCTTTTGTTCCCACTGCATCCCACATGTTCTCTCCAGCAGCAGAAGCAGCGGTACTCCGACAGCTTACCGTGGAGCACCAGCCCTATATGCAGTGTTGTCTGTCTCTGCCAGGACTCCAGCCTGCCGGTGGGAGTGTTCATCTGGGAGGTGGAGAATGGGAGGGATGAGGATGTGGACATCTCCATCATGTTCAGCCTGCAGAATGGCACGGGAACTAAGGAGGACAGGAGCGGAGGACACTGGAACGAGCCCTTTGCCTTTGAGAAGGAGGGAGAGAGGGTTGCTGGAGTCCTGCTGCACCACTGCACACGCGTGAACCCTTTCACCCTCGCCATCTCTGCCCGGGAGAAGGTAAAGGGTGTGGTGGTGTGGCCCCTCCTGGGGGGCTTGTAGAGTCCTCCTGAATGTGCTGGGGCTGCTTGCAGGCAGCTGGTAAAGGGTGGGTGTATGATGGATTGTGGTTGGCACTGGTCCTCAGTGCTTGCCTGACTGCTGGAGCAAGAGTGGGCACTTCCCCAAGGGCACCCTCTTTGGGGGTGGGTGCCAGGAGAGACACTATGGGTGAAGCTTGCAGGACGGCAGGTGAGTAGGTTTGGAGTTAACACTGCTGGGCAGCATGTGGGGAGTGAGTGTGGGGTCCCAGAGTTCTTGTTGGGGGCAGGGGAGAAGCTGCATCTGCCCCTGAAAAGTACCAGCCCCTGATGATACTCTTCCCTTCCCCAGGCTGGCACGGGAGTCACCCACCTCATGGCATTCAATCCCGCAGGATCAGGTAGAGAGGTGTGGCAGGATCTCCTGCAGGACGGCAGGCTGGATTCCCCCTCTGGTGAGTCCCTTGGTCCTCTGTGGGACAGGCAGAGGGGGAGCAGGGGTAGCGGGTGGCCATGCTGGTTGCAGGGCACCATCCAAGCAAGGGTGGATTTCCCTTCCTCCAGCTGCCTTGTTGCCATCACAAAAAGCTCTCAGTGATGCTGTGACTGGTTCCCAGCTTTACAGAATCACAGTATCATTAGGGTTGGAAAAGACATTTAAGATTGCCAAGTCCAACCATCAACCCAACACCACCATGCCCACTAAGCCATGTCCTGAAGTGCCACAACTACCCATTTTTGGAACACTTCTGGTGATGATGACTTCACCACCTCCCTGGGCAGCAGACACTTCTGGTGATGATGACTTCGCCCCCTCCCTGGGCAGCCTGTTCCAGTGCTTGACCACTCCCTCAGTAAAAATTTTTTTCCTAATATCTGGACTAAACCTCCCTTGGCTCACCTTGAGGCCATTTCCTGTCGTTCTATCGCTACTTACTTGGAAGAAGAGACCAACACCCACCTCACTGCAGCTCCTTTTTGGTAGTTGTAGAGAGTGATAAGGTCTCCCCTCAGCCTCTCCTTCTCCAGACTGAACAACCCCAGTTCCCTCAGCTGCTCCTCATAAGACTTGTGCTCCAGACCCCTCACCAGCTTCGTTGCCCTTCTCTGGACACACTCCAGCACCTCAATGTCCTTCTTGTAGTGAGGGGCCCAAAACTGAACACAGGATTCAAGGTGCAGCCTCACCAGTGCCGAGTACAGGGGCACAATCACTTCCCTACTCCTGCTGGCCACACTTGCTGATACAGGCCAGGATGCTGTTGGCCTTCTTGGCCACCTGGGCACACTGCCAGCTCATGTTCAGCTGGCTGTCAACCAGCACCTCCAGGTCCTTTTCCCCCAGGCAGCTCTCCAGCCACTCCTCCCCAAGCCTGTAGCGTTGCATGGGGTTGTTGTGACCCAAGTGCAGGACCTGGCACTTGGTCTTATTGAACCTCATACAGTTGACCTCTGCCCATCGATCCAGCCTGTCCAGATCCCTCTGCAGAGCCCTCCTACCCTCCAGCAGATCAACACTCCCACCCAACTTGGTGTTGTCTGTATCTTTAGGCTGCATCCAAATTTCCCATTGCTTGTCACACTGTCCTTGTGGTTCTCCAAAAGCTGTTAGCACCACTTTGGGGCTGTTCTCAATTAATTGCACATACCAGTATATTGTTAGTCTGTGTAGGGTTGCACACTGAGTTGAGATTTCTGCTGAATAGCCGAGGTGATGCCCAGCCACCTTCCCCAAGTTCCCATTGCCAGATCTGTGAGCTGATCCACATCAGATTCATTCTGCCAGGTGTTTAGTAGTCCTCAGGGTTTGGTGCTGCCATCACTTGCTGTCCTTTTGTTACTACATTGGTTCCCTGAAGGTCTCTAGTATTCCCATGATACTTCTGCACCATCCTCAGTTATCTGCTTAGTTCCTTAGCAGAAGTCTTGAAGCAGGGTGGTGTCTCCCAGCCCTTGCTGCTAACCTCTTACTGCAGTAAAAGCTGAGCATTTGCCTAATGTCTCTGCCAGCTTTTGAACAAGGATGATGCTGACAAACTAGTGATGCTGGCACTGGGCCTTTGCAAGATTTCTTGAAGCTTAAATTATGTAAATAAAGCATTTACGTAAATATTTCTGGAAAACTAAGTTTCCTGCCTAGATGTGCTCAGAGCTCCCCAGGCTATTGGGATGTGGTTTTCCTTTGTGCATGCCAGGCATTACCATAGTCAAGATCTGTGCTTCTGTTAAAGTTGTTGCTTTAATGAGTTTACCTGGTACACATGTCAGAGCCAGCATATAATTATCCAGCCTCCTCAGGGCTTTTTGTAAATATGGGCAATTCAAGCACCCTGCAAAAAGCTGGAAACAATGACTGTCACTAGAAAGTCACAGTGCCTTTGAGTGCAGCGCAGTTACGAAGTCATGGGGTGCTCTGTCCTTTCCACTCGTACCTGGTGGCTTTTCCTGCCTCTGCTTTGATGACTTACTCTTTTTAACCCCTCCACCCATGGCAGGTATTTTTTTCCTGCTTGCAAAAAGCAGTTACTCACGTGCGGTAATGTCATCCCTTAAAACCCTGAGGATGTACCCTCCAGCTTGCAAGGGGGCTGTGGCATGCCCAAATAGTCTCATTCCCTTTGGGGTGCATGGGAGTATCAGTCACCCCTCCACAGGGCTTCCTTGGTCACTTGGGAATACTTTTTTTCTGTCCCGGCAGGTAAAAGCATCCCGACGGAGAAGGGGGAGGTGACAGCAGCAGCGGTGTGTGCCAGCTGCAGGGTGCCTGCCCGGGGTCACAGGACGCTGGAGCTGGCACTGGCTTGGGACATGCCTCGTGTTCACTTTGGCTCCAAGGAGAAGCTGCACCTCAGGTGCGTGGGTTGTCTCCAGTGGCGCTTGGCTCACATCCCCGAAGTCCCCTTCTCCCTGCCTCCAGGCTTGAGTGTCGCCTGGGGGGGCTTGTACCACCTGCCACCAGC